TATATGTGAAAAGAGCACCAAATAAAGAGTGAAATGAGCACCAAATTTGTTTATATGTGAAATAAGAAAATAAATAATGTCATCACACCGAACAACATGAAGAACACAAAAAGGTAATAAATGCATGTTATGTAAATATGATTATTATGAAAAAAATTTTTATGATAACAGAGCAGTTCGAACTTTTTTCGACCTGCCTTTGCCACGTCGTTTACCCAAAACCTGTAAGCGAGTTTTATCATTAATTTCGTATTTGTTGAGAAGCATACCCAAACCAATTGAATGTTTGCATACATAAGATTTCAACCCACTTGGACATGTACATGAATTAAGTGGGCATACAAGCCAGCAAGATTTCAACCAAATAATCAACTCGTCGAATGATGTCCACTGTTGAAGTTGATACATTATGCTGCTTTAAAATAATATCAGCTTCGTTGAGTGTATTGACGATATTTAAAATTTGATATTGCTTGCTTGACATGTTTTTGCTACTGGAATTTTTATTTTTTTCTACACTTTTTTTTATATACAAATCATTACTCCAATTAATTAGATTATTTATGAATTGTCATTGGATTAATGAATATGAGTAGAGCTTATCCCAATTTAATAGCTAAGTACCTATGAACTGCAGTCGTAATTCGTTTAAATCTTAATTGATACCTTTTGTACTGTTCTGTTCATTTGGTGCTCATTTCACCCTTTTTTAGTGCTCTTTTCACATATAATCAATTTGGTGCTCATTTCACCCTTTTTTTGGTGCTCTTTTCACATATAATCAATTTTGGTGCTCATTTCACTCTTTTTTTGGTGCTCTTTTCACATATAATCAATTTGGTGCTCATTTCACTCTTTTCTTGGTGCTCAAAACACATTTCTTCCAAGATTTTACTACAATTGATACATTAACAGGTTTTAAATGGCTCGAAAATATATCACATCAATTACTTAATGATAAAAAACATGTTATTTTTTGTTTTGAAGATGTTATGTAAGTTAAACATTCTATCTTTCAGAAAATTTACAAATTTTTCTTTAGTGAATTTATGTTCTTCTGGGAAAATACACCAGTTCATCGTAGTGAATCTTATTTGGATGCTGATGAAAACCAACCAAAAGATTCTAAAGATGAAGAATATATTCGTCCAAAAATATGAGCTAATTATCATATAACTGGTGTTAGAGATTTGACTATTGAAATTGTAGCTGCTTTTTGTGGCGAAGGTAAAGATAAAAAACCAACACTTCGTTGTTCAGCATCAACACAAATGATAACATTTTATTTTGATAATGGTTGTGAAATAAGAATACATGTCAGTGGAACTGAACCAACAATTAAATGATATTCAGAAATAAGAAAAAAGAAAATACATAAACAAAAACAAAAACAGAAGATGATCTGATGATTGATGATGAACAATTTAGATAGAAAACGAAACAACAACTTGATCAATTAGTCGCAGCTATTGTTGAAGAATTTTTACTATCGAAAAAAAACGGATTTATTAAAAGAGAGACAACAGCTAAATGAACAGGAAACCTTTTTTTGAATGACATACAAGCAATCTTAACGATTCCGGAAATATCAATCATTCAAATTAGAAAATTTATTTTAGTACTCAAAAATAAAATATATCGCCTGATGCTGATCATCAGTAAGAATAATGAAATAGTCCGTTCCACTGAAAAATCTTAATTATTTAAAGAGAATAGAAGTTCGCACTAAGTATCATATTCTACTCATATACGGAAGTTAATTGCAAACAAACAAAAAACTACAAGTTCTAGAGTTAGATCACGATATACGAATCACTAAAATAGTTCAACTACTATTTTCGTCAATTATATTATCACTTTTTAGAAAATATATTGCTGAATACGAAGTATTAATAGGAAGAGAACTGTTGTAAATTCCTTCTAATATCCTGGTCTGAAAATTTCGTATTGTTAATGTGAAGAATTGGCATTGGTTATAGAATATCTGTATTGATTGTTGTGTTCACATTGAAAAGTTTGGAAGGGTGCGGGTGTGGGTATGCGTTAAGAGAAGAGTCATACCCACACCCACACCCAATTAGTAGATTAATATTTAGTAGAAGTATTACTCAAACAACACTAAAAATTTGTTGATGAGATAAAACATTACCAATACGAAATTTATATGATAGTTAAAGTTCAGGAAAAATATGTCTTTTGTCCATTGGCGGTTTGAAATAACGAAAGTATTTTTTGAAAATATTCATTCAATATTTTTCACCTTTAGCTTTACATTGTGTTTTATATCCGGATGAAAAACAGATTGTTGCATCAATAGTTGATGCTCAAATACTTTTTTCATCCTGAAATTGATCAACAGACAGAATCAATTGAAACCAAACATAATTTATGTTATA